ATAGATAGATAGATAGATAGATAGATAGATAGATAGATAGATAGATACTGTAGATAGATAGATATATGATAGCAATAGCACTTACACTTATACCGAATACCACTTCACAGTGCTTTACAAACCTAGGAAAGTTCCTAACTGTGAATACAACCAACCAATGGAACTGCTTGCCACCAGAAGTTGTGGGTGCTCCATCACTGGAGGCTTTTAAGAATAGACTGGACATCAATTTGTCTTAAATGGTGTACAGTCTCCTGCTTGATCAGGGGATTGAACTAGATGACCTCCAAGGTCCCTTCCAACTCTGATGATGATGACAACAACAACGATGATGATGGTGTTTAATATAATAAATTTGAGAAAAGGGCTCATTAAAAATCAGAATCATCCCTGTTTTAATCCAGAGAGATGTCTCCCCGCTCCTAGAAGTCAAGATTTATCTAAATCCATTGCTTTTCCTTCTCACCTTGTTCTGCTAATTTTTCTGAGGATCAATGATAATCAAACCAGTTACAAGGAATGTGACATTGTAAGAAAATAATTTGGCTTCCGTGTGCAGAATGTAGTCATATATATTACTTTTAAGTCCTAGTGCTGTCAATAGAAGTTCATCTCTCTCATTAGATCAGTATAAAGTGCTTAATTTAATTTGCACTGTGCATTATTTTTTTGACTGCTTGATGTTTTGCTTGTTGTTGTTTTTTTACAAATATATTTACTTAATCCAAAGCTTCCTCAGTAAAAATATGTGGGTTTTTTGTGGTTAGGTGCAAAAAGGGAACAGTTTATGTGCCATGATTTTCCTTGCGATGAACATAATCTTAAAATAAATGTTTATGTATTTGAAGTCCAAAGCAAAAAAATAGCAAGTATGATTTTTTTTTTTTAATGGACAGATGCCATTTTATCTTCTGCAGCGGTGGTATTCAGCAGGTTCTGACCAGTTCTGGAGGACCGGTAGCAGAAACCGGTAACAGAAACTGGCAAATATCGCCTTTGACTGGAGATTTTACAGTATCCTTCCCCTGCCACACCCATCAAGCCACACCCACAGAACCGGTAGTAAAAACATTTGAATCCCACCACTGCTGGTTATATACCTACACTTGTGGAGAGAAATGAAATGACAAATAATTGGGTTAAGAATATGGCAATTAGGAATATGTGCAATTCAACTTTTCAATTCAAAGTGTCGGTTTGATTTGAATTTGCAAAGCAAAATTTGATTCAAATGACCATAGTCATTGAACTAGTATCAGTGCTGCTTTATAAAGCTTTAATAAGGCCACATCTGGAATATTACATCCAGTTTTGGTTACCACATTACAAAAAAAGATGTTGAAACTTTGGAAAAAGTGCAAAAAAGAGCAACTAAGATGACCAAAACTAAATGGAGACTAAAACATGTTAGAATAGAATAGAATAGAATAGAATAGAATAGAATAGAATAGAATA